CCCCCCCCCCCCCCCAACTGACACATGATGATTGTTCCCCAGCATGAGGCTGCATGTATACATAACAGGGTAGACACCAGAACCTTTTCTGGATTGACAGAAGACCACAGTAACAGTAGCACCAAGAGAAAGGCGCCCGCACAGATGGTAGTCTGCTGTCCGACAGCCCGCCCCGGCAAAAAAATCGGGAAGGTCCTCGTTCGCTCACCACTACAGCCATCGAGATGCCCCTATCCTCGCGGAACTCGTTGAGGATGCTTGGCCGGAGCTTCATCGCCTGCGTGCGTGGTGGGTGTACGTGGCGTTAGCAGTACACACATACACCTCACGCCGCAAACAACAGAAAAAAACAAAAAAGCCTCTACCCTTGTAGCCCGTAGGCTTGAAAACCACGCGCGCCACAAAACCAGGACAAGTGAATGTTGTTCCGCGATCCTTTGGGCAAACCCATCATGGATGGATCGTTGTGTGCGTAGTGAAACTTTTTCTTTTGTACGATATGATCCCGACGAAATTGTTAGCGCTGGGTTAACACACACGCGCAGAGAAGATCCGCTGATTCTTAAGACTGGGGGTAAAGTTCGGCCGAAAGCGGGCCGCACGAAAAGCCAAGGACCACAAATCTGGTGACTAGCGAACCAAGCATTCTGGAAAAATTAACACCTCCCCGTCCTATCGAAACACGCGCTGACAAGTCGATTCCCCCCGCGCGAGCTAATCTCCGACTCGTGCGCCGGACACCCTCGCCGAATACTGTTGGGCCGGTTCCAGAAACTCGGTACAAAAACTTACCCCTTGAACGGAAACGTGAGAGCGTGCGAACCACAAAAGCAAGCCGCTGCCGCCGCTGAGGCAGACCCCACATTTCAAACCCACACCACGACAAAAACAAACAGGGGTTGCTAGGTGTGCGTGGTGTGTTTTACGCGCTGACGCTGAAAGCATCAAATTCACACCTTGTACGTCGTCCCGATGACCACCCACTCGTCCCCTTCCCGCATGTTCACCAGCCGATCGACGAACTTCACCCCACCGCCCTCCCCCTCCTTGCCCCACCGCTTATCCGCCGCCTGGCGAACGGCGCCCTTGAGCGCCAGCAGGCGCTTGTTGTAGACGTGGCTAAACTGCTGGGTGAAGCTCTTCTTCTTCACGATGAACCTTCCCACACAGCACAGCGACGCACCGCAAAGACACGAGAGGCATCATATTTGCGGCAGCGTGCAAACAACGAATTGGCAAGAGAGAGGCTTATCTGCCTTCTGGTTCACACAAGGCGGTCCAGTTGAGTTGATCTGATGATCTGCCTGTACTTCGACCGAGTTTGGTTCTGCCGCCGTGTAGAATTCGAGATACGTCATGGGCGAATCCATCCGGAAGCCAAGGAAGAGACGAGGCGACTCTTGCCTTTCCTTCGAGTGTGCGGCGCAAAGCTTCTGCTCCTGCTTCTGGGCAGCGACAGAAGTCACGCGAGCAGTGTGGTCCTCGACTCTTGCCTTCCCTCGGTGAGTCTGACTACCAAAGGACACGCTGACGAAAGGCAGAGTGCCGCCAGCCGCGTTTCTACGCAAGCTAGGATGTGTTTGACGGTGGGCCGCACCTCGTGCCAGGCGAGCTAGCCCAACACCGCAGGCTCGAAAACATGTCTCCTAAACATCCAGCTGTGGAAAACCCTTCTCTACTCAATCTCCCTTCCTCTAATACGTCTTTCGAAAACAGATTGATACGCCGCATCACTGGGAGATACAACTAAGCAAGTACGCGTTAGACTTAGGTCAAGACAGAGTTAAGCACCAAAAAAGAACAAGGTTCTTATGATACCTCTGATAGCGGGGTTCGTACGCGAGCTCGACCCGAGGCGCCCCCTGCCCGTCGCCTCTCTCTCCGTCCGCCCCGACCGCCGTTGCGTCTATCGACGAAGGAGGGGACATGAGCATGTCCGCCACTCTCTCACTCTCGGCGGTCATAGGGAACGTCTGTTCGCTGGCCGTTGCGACTGCCTTGTTTGTTTGGCGGCGTGCCAAAGCGTGTGTGCTCTTCTCCTAGCACCCGGAACGGAGGGACGGAGGGTGGGAGGGGGAGGCGACTCTGTTAGGTAGTTGCCGTCGTTATTTAACAACACACAGCGTGTTCCGCGAAAATGCCGGCGATCATCACGTTATCTTGCCACACACGCCAAGCAAACCTGCTCTTTCTTGCGTCAGCGGACATTGCAACACGGTGTGGCGGGGCGCTCTTCGATTTTCAAGATGGAATAAACTTGAGCGTGCATGCGTGTGCGTGCAAAGGAAACTACCTTCAAGCGTGTACATGGCGCAAGATATCACCCCCCCCCGAGGCGAGGTTAAGGTTTGCTGTGGGAAGAATCAACGTAGCGAGGAGGTCAAAGCCGAACAAGCAAGAAACAAAATAAAACTTTCGGTAACACTGCTCGCAGAGCAATGGATACTACAATGCTCGGTGTGGCCACCCCTCCCTCTCTCCCCCTCGACGATGTCCCACCCATCGCGGTCTAGAGAAAGTTCGGGAAAACATATCTATACACGATGATACAGGACCCCGGGGGAGATGGTATACTTAACTACCGGAAAGAGACACGCCCACACCATGAGATCTCATGAGTATTACTCTTTGCCGAGGGGTGTCGCCATGGTTCGGCCTCGGCTGTTGGTACTTCTCTTGGCTACGTATGGAGGCAAGATCGGGTGCTGCTGACAGCAAAACGTGAAAATATAAAATGAAAATGAAAAATGAACCATGGTTTGGGAATCCCAATCCTCCTGTGCAAAACCGCACCGCGGAAGTGACCGCGTATCATCTTTGCTTGCAGACAGGCCCAGTTACATAGACGCCTTGTTTCCGTGAAGCGGTGAAGTAGCAACCCGGTTCCGAGAGAGCACTTCTATGTTCACGTCTCAAGTCCGATCAGGGAGCAGCTCGGCAGCTCACGCGCGGGGACTGAATTCAAATTCAAATATGCACTGAAAATTCAAATGCATCTTTTCCAGTTTCGCCCGCTGCCAATCCAACAATATCCACAGCGTACCTCCAGCCGCAGCAAGAATAAGCCGTAGATCAAGGACGATAGAAGCACCAGGAGCCCCCGCCAATCCCTGTGTGTCTCTGAGCGACGCGCACAGTACACTCCGCACTTCGCTCGAGGCGGGGCATCGTCGCATACCCCGCTGAGAGAACGCTGTAATTTACGGGGCCCCTCTGGTCCTCAGGCAGGTCTGGTGACAGTTGTGACAGTCCAGCGCAGACCCCAGCCAACGACAAAAGAAAAAACGCCTGACACACGCCCGCAGCTGAGCACAGCAGCGGCCGAACTGGGCTGTAGGTTTTACGGTGCCACACACTTGAGTCCTGAGTCTCTGGCATGGCGTTTGTGACGCCCTCAGCGTGGTTTGAAATGGCCGCGCCACATCGTGGGGTGCTGCAGCAACCGATCTCTCCGGCAACCTCAACAGCAACAACGTGCCGCAGAAGCCGCAGACCCTCCATCATAGCTTCTGCTTCTGCTAGCGCGACTTGCCCCGCGCCCCCAGCAGAGCTGCGCAAAGAAAGGCCGTCTGGCACGCGCCGTGTTGCTGGCACTAGGGCTCCTCCTCCTCCGCCCGTGGCGGCGGGCGACCTCGCAAAAACACAGCAGCCGCCGCCGGCAAGGCCACCACCGGGGACGAAGCAACCACGTCCCCCAACCGCAGGGACGGGGCAGCGAGCGCACCCGACGCGAACGCCACGACCACGAGCACGCCGTGTAGCGGGAATCCGAAAGGCGTCCGTTACCAATGGTCCGAAGGTCGGCGGCTGGAGGTGCCCGGCCTGCGGCGCCCAGCTCTACAAGCAGCAGGAGGAATGCAGCCTCTGCCAGACTCCGAGGCCGGTCGCAGGGGCCGCCGGTGACGACGGCGGTTATGTCAGACGGCCGGCGGGGAAGAGGCACGCCCGCGCCGACGTGCGCTCGCGGGAGTTCACCAACAAGATCCGGGGCATGCCCGCGGGCGACTGGCGTGGGGTGGTGCGAGAGCTCGAGGAGGAGGAGCGGATGGAGGAGGCGGACGCGCAACTGCAGCAGCAAGGGGGAGGAGGAGGAGGAGGAGGCGACGACGAGGCCGATATGTCTCTGGGGGCGCCTTCGGTCCATGGCTACCACGCGGTGAGCTAGGCCATCGTGGACGCCAAACCACTGGACACACCGCCTTCGCCTTCTTCCTTTCCATGCTTTGCCTGTCCATCCCCATGTTTTCGAGGTGGATCAATTTCCACTTGTATCTTCCCCTCCGTCCCTACCGGTGCCAACATTAGTATTGTTGTGGACTTGGACGATCAAGGACTTTCCACCCGCCATCATATCGTACCCAGGCAGCTTGGGACACGGTGAATCATGTACGGAATGTTGCCCCGAGCTTGCTCGACTGCTGTACGACTCTCTTGTTGTGCTTGCGGCAAGAAAATGGGTGTTGTATCCGTATAACTACATCAACTTCACACCCGTTGACATCGCTTTCCCTCACATTGTGGGAGTTTTCCCCCCGCGTCCGAGAGGTTCCAGAAAGCACCCCCTCCCGGCAAACGACCGATTGAACCACAGCACACTTACCCGTCGACGTTGTCACGAGAAATCCAAACATGACCCTGTGGATGCACGGTACAAGCGCTGCCGGTATATGGCAGCAGCCGCTCTTGCTGGTAATTGGCGTCTTCGTTGGCTACCCTTTTCGGTGCGGTCGTTTATGGCTGCCATCATTCGTCGCATTCTTTTTTACTTCGTCGATGCCCATGTCCTTTCCCATCAGGTGATGCAGCGTCTGGAAGAGTGCGGCCGCTGGCGCGAAGCCGCCGCCGTCCTCCGGCGCATGCACCGCAAGCTCGGTCCCAGGGCCGGGGACGTGCCGACCCTCTCCGCGGCCTGCCTGCACAAGGCCATGAGCGCTTGCTTCGCCGCCGAGCAGTGGGAGACGTGCTCCGACTTGCTTGAGGAGGCGAAGGGGTGGGCCACCGAAGCCTCCTACCGATGTTTCAAGCTGGCGATCGAAGCGTGCGTGCGGGGCGGTCGGTGGGAGCAGGGACTGTTCGTCCTGATGGAGAGGACGTCCGAGAAGACGGACAGAAAGTGGGAAGCACTCCCATTCAACCGGGTCATGCAGGCCTGTGTCGACGCGGGCCGATGGCAAGAAGCGGTGGCGTTGCTGGACCACATGAAGGACGAAGTGGGCGCGAAGCCCGACCTCGTGACCTACGGCATCGCGATCAACGCGTACGGCAACGCCGGGGAGTGGCGAAAAGCCATGGGTGTGCTGGAGGAGAGCCTGCCGGAGATGAGAGCGGGCGGAGGGGCGTCGCGCCAGAACGCCTGCCTGTGCTTCGCCTACGCGATCAGGGCTTGCAAGCACGCCGGGGAGTTCGACGAAGCTCTCGGCGTTCTCGACAGGGACGTGCCGGCGACCGGCGTCGCGCCCAACGCGCTCATCTTGCACGAGGCCCTCACCGCGTGCGGGGTCGGCGGCCGGTGGCAGCAAGCGCTCGAGCTGCTGCCGCGCGCGCTAGCGGTTGCCGGCGGCAAGCCTTCTTCCTGCCTCAGGAGCTACACCGCGGTCATCAAGGCCTGCGGCAGGGCCGGCCGGTGGGAGGACGCCCTGTCGCTCTTCCGAAGGGGACAGCGGGACGGGCTACAGCCCGACGAGGTCTGCTACGCGGAGGTCATGTCCGCGTGCGCCGGCGGCGGCCGCGCGGACGAAACACTGGGCCTGCTGAGCGAAATGTCGGCCGCGGCGGGGCTGAGGCCGACGGTCCCCTGCTACAACGCGGCGATCGTTGCCTGCGGCGCCGGCGGGGACTGGCGGCGCTCCGTCGAGCTGCTGGAGGAGATGCCGACGGTCGGGCTTGCTCCCGGGGTGTCCACCTGCAACATGGCGATCAACGCTCTCCGACGGGGGGGGCAGTGCCAGAGGGTCCTGGACCTGCTGGAGCGGATGTCAACGGCGCCGGGCCTCCCGGCGCCTGACGCCACCAGCTACAACACCGCCATCACCGCCTGCAAGAGCGCCGGCCGGTTCGAGGAGGCCGTGGGGCTCTTCCGGACGATGGAGCGAATCGGCATCGCCCCTGACGTGGTCGGGTACACGGCTACCATCCAGGCCCTCGGGCGCTGCGGGCGCTGGGAGGAGGCCCTGGCGCTTCTGGGGGAGGTGCGCTCGCGGACGACCGCCGCAAAGCCGAACGTACGGACGTACGTCGCGGCCGTCCATGCCGCCGGGCACGCTGGCCAGTGGGAGCGCGCCGTCTCGGTGTTCAGGCTGATGCTTGCGGACGGTCTCGTTCCGACGGACCGGGCGTGGAGCGCGGTGATCTCGGCCTGCGAGGCCGCGGCGGGGGTCCTCGGGCGGGGGGACGATGAGCGAGTGCGAGCGGTGATGGCGTTGCTGGTGAGAGCAAGAGAAGAAGCGGGTGTGGAACGACCTGACGACGGGGGGGGGCACACACCGGGCTCCGAGCAGAAGGAATAAGGAGAGAAAGATTTAAGGGACCGGCATAGGGAAGTAAAGGTATGTTCTATACATGTGTGGTTTTTGAGAAATAGACAGACAGAAGAGGGTTGGTGGACGGGGGGGGGGG